TGCAGCTCAAGCGGCTTTGACGTTGCGCCACCCTGGATTTATTCCCCATCAGGGGGCCCTGAAGGTCAGCAGTGGCGGGGCTGGCGGGGAGGTGGCAGAGGATGCTTTTCACACGTGGGGCCATGGGTTTGTCCTCACCTTCAAACCAGGCAAGAGGAGCTGCTGGAGCTGCCCAGGGTGGCCTCTCCCCCGGCCCCGCGCTGGCACCAAGGGCTGCCTGGAGAGCGAGGCTGGGGTGGGAAAAGTACCAGCACATTTTAATTTTCAGCTCAACCTCTGCTGACCACTGTATTTTGATTAGAGCTCTGCTTCCTTTTCATCTCGGTGCTCTGGCTGGTGACAACTGCCACAGCCTCGTGCGCGCGGTGCAATAGTTTATCACCGAAGGCCAGCGGCTCTATGAATTCAGAGCCAGCGCTGAACAAATCACGCTGTCACTAACGTCAAACTTGTTAACCTGATCTTTGGTGGATCACTAGTGTCAACATTGCATGGGACATACATTATCGGGCCCAAGGACTTCGGGAGATGCGTTTGTCAGGCTGCTCTGTCACAGTCCCACTCTTGACCTTCGCAAAGTAACTTTCAAGGATAAGCTGCTTTCTTCTTGAAAAGAGTTGCTGTTCCCAGGGGTGTCACCCCATTGCCACCAGCCAGGACAGGACTGCAAGGTGAGGCTGGGTCACCACGCCTGTGGTGGTGACGGTGTCAACCCAGCAACGGGTGAAGGATCTGCTGGAATAGTTGTGTGGGGTGTCCTCCAGGGCTGGGGCTGGGCTGGGGAAGGTCTTCCATTGATGTCCACCACCAGCCACATCTCTGAACTTCTCCCCATCTTGTCACCAATTGCTTTCACATCTCTCCTCATCTTTTACCCAGTCTCTGTCCCTCTGGATTTCAAACCTGGAAACCAGTCTATTGTGTTCAGTAGACTGGTGGGTGTCTTACTGGACCGTCATGAGTCTCACATCTTGGTTTGCCAAGTGCAGGGCCAGAATTGCCCTCAGCGTTTCTGATGATCACAGCTGCAGAGGTCAGATGAAGGATGGGCTACTGTGGCTGCATGCTCGAGAGGTGAGTGCTCCCAGTAAGCTCCTGCCCAAGCTCCAGGAGGTGGTTGGGTTTCATGGTACCTTTGCTTGGGCTGGTGGCATCTCCTCCCTGTGATCCCACCCAAGCTGGAGGGGAGCGGTGCTGTGGGGGCACGGGAAGGGCTGGGCACCCTGCAGGAGGCTGGGGGTGGTGGGGCCGGAGGGGTAGGACTGTGCCAGAGCAGATGCAGCTCGTGGCCAGAGGGACCACACGGCGGGTGCTGGATTCGAGCTCCACATCGCTGTCCCCATGGGCTGCCCCTGCTAATCAGCTGTGAAAGAGAGAGAGAAAGCTGGAGAGAAATCTTTCTCTCCGCTAACCTCATCACAATAAAGATTCCTATAAAGAGCTCTTATCCTTGAAGAAAATGAGGCACATAAGCAGGAATAGTAAACAAAAGGCTGTCATTTTGACCCAGGAGTGCTTCATGTTGTTGGCAACTGCCAAGAGGAAACATAAAGAGAGGCTGCATCCAAGTCCCAATTATGCAGAACTATGTGACTGATATGTCAATGAGTCCTCCCGGGAGGAGACCACCAGCACTTCCCGGCGCTGCCTGCGCACCATCTGCACACGCCGCCATGCACCGGGCCCGCCCGCACCCCCGAGCGAAGGCGTGTGTGGCATCGGAAGAATGCAGAGGACAAGGTAATGTCATCGGGAACGCTATCGCCAAAGTCCTCGCCGCGCGCGCATTATCGGCACGGGCCCCGGAGTCAGGGACTGCGGGCAGCCGGCGGCGCAGGCAGCGAGATCTGGCAAACAGTAGTGCTGACCACACCTGCTGCAGGCACGCTCCGGGAACGTGGCGCAGGCAGGAGGGCTGCCCCGCCGCCGATAAGCTGAGTGGATGGAGATAAAATCCAAGAAGGAGATATGCTTTGCTGAGCATCAAGGCTACGCACCAGCACGGAGCCAAAGCACGCCTGGGCCCACAGGAGGTGGTGCGGCTCCATGGGCTCCGGCTGTGCCGTGGCCACACGGGCCCCACGGCCCGGCCAGGAGGAGATGGGGCAGGGCAGTCATTGAACCAAAAGCTGGGGCTTTGGTGATGGACGTGCTGGTGCTTGGGCCCATTGGGAGCAGGAAGCTGAGGCTTGTGCCAGTTGACAACGCTGTGGCAGGGCAGTGACTTTGGGGCCCATCCTCATCTCTGAACAAAAGCCATGCCCTCCCCAGCACATCCTTGGAGACCTGTGAGGCTGGAAGCCCAGGGCTTCCTCATCCCTCCCTCTTCGTTGCTGTGGCACCAAAATGTGACCCCAGTGTGCACATCCTCCATGTCCCCAGGGACCCCTGGGGCTGTGCACAGCCCCCAGGATGGGCTCAGTGTGTGCCAGCTGCTCCTGCCTGCGTGGGCACACAATATCTGGGGTACCCAGCATCTCCTCAGGCACAGCTGGTCCCATGTCCCCACACAAACCCGGCACAGGGCAGGGAAGGAGAGCGACAGCATGGGCAAGAGGTTGGTGCTGTTGCCAGGGCCCTCTGCAGCATCGATGGTGGCACCCAACTGGTGGCCATGCAGCAGAGGGACCTGGGGAACCCCGGTGCTGGAGCCCCACATGCCCACCCTGCCCGGAGCCAGCTCTGCCTGGCCCCTGAGTGGCTGCTCCGGAGCGGAATTCCCAAATCCGCCCTCCCAGAGCCGCTGGCCAGGACCTGCCGGGCTGCACCGGGGCCCATGGGCCGGCCCTGACCCGGGGCCGCGCGCCCCCTGCAGAAGCTGGGCCACGGCCTTGGCAAGGGCCTGTGCAAAGGAAAGTGCCCAAGGCCAGCGGGGACGTATTTGCCCCTGAAAGCACCTTGCTGCAAAAATAGCAAGTGGCCAGCGTGAGGCCGGGGCTTCCCGGGGGAACAATGCCCGGCGGGAGGAAGCAGCCGCGGCCGCTCCGCAGCTCCGTCCCCGCCTCGCGCGGTGCTGAGCCGCGAGCCGCTGCGTGCCGGCCCGGCGGGGACCTTGAACCTGCCACAGATTTATTTTCTCTGACATTGGCATCGCGTCGGAACATCTGGCATGCGGCTGATAATTGCTGGGGATCAGGGCGGAAGCCGCTCCAGGCCTGGTGCTTCTTCCAGAGCTCTGTTTTCATTAGTTTTTCTCTTCTCTTCAGCTGCAGAGCGAGGAAAAAACAATCAGGGCTGCGCAGCTCGCCGCTCCCGCTCCTCTCCCCGTGGCTGCAGCACCGCGGGGGTCCCTGCCACCTCCCACTCGGCATGGGGACACTGCAGGGGCTGTCACCATCGCGCCATGTCAGGGCTGCATCGATGCCCGGGGGGGATGAGCCCTTCCCTGACCCTGGGATCATGGATCCTGCGGCGGTGCCCTGGGTGTCAGTGGCCCCCGGCCGGGCCAGCCCATCCTTGGGGCTGTGGTCACCGTGGGCTGAGAGCGGGGCCCTGTGTGCACACAGGCAGGGAGACGCCGCGGTGATGGATGGCCGGAGCGGGGGCCGGCAGTGGGAGCAAACCCCGGCTCTGGCGGGACGGGAGGTGTCACACATGGCCTCTCACCCCAGCGCCTGGCCTTGCTGCCCTTCTGTTTCTGCAGGGAGATGGGAAACCCAAGCCCCACAGCCAGTGAGGTGCCCATGGGTCAGAACTGTACCCGGCAATGGCGGGTGGGAGAACCCACGTGGCCAACACACCTCCACTGCCAGGGGTTTGGCTGCCACCGCCCTGGCACAGGGGGTCCCGCTTCCCTCTGGTGCCATTTTGGCTCATGCAGTGCTGCTGGCTGCGGGTGCTGTGAGCTCACAGGGACCCTGGGCACAGGGCCCCTCACATGGAGGAGCCCCCTCTCTGCCGAGGATACCCCGCAGGGCTGGTGGGGCCTCAGCTGCAGGTCCCAGTGCTGGAGGGGTGCTGTGGGCTCGTCCTCCTCCTGAAGGCATCTTGCCCCCCGCCCATGGTCCCCTCCCTCCTGCCCTGGGCCATAAATCAGCGTGGCCGTGGGTGCCGGCGCACTCGCTGCCGCCCACCGGTGCCCCCCGCCTCCCTGCGGGGTCTCTCTCCCCTGGCGCGTTATCTGCCACGGGGGTCCCACTTATCTCCGCTGTCACTTTCTAATGCTAGTTTATGGGCAGAGTTTTGTAGCTTAATTATGATGTTTTTCATCGCGGTCACGTGGCCGCAGAAGCCAATGAGGCACCGAAGTGGGTCCATCCCGGCTGAGCCTGGCCCCTGCGGGGAGGAGATTGGCCGGTGTCCTGCCCAGGGCGGCGTGTGCGCAGCCAGAGCCCCGACACCTTCCCGGCAGAGACGGGTCCCATAAATCCCCCAGCCCGCTGCGGACGGGGCAGCGGTGCCCAGCACCCCACGAAGGCTCCTCGGGCAGCAGCTCCTGGCCGGCAGCGTGAGCGAGGGTCTCCTGCCGCGCTGGCCCCACACGCAGTGGGGTACGCAGCCGCCTCGTGGTGAGTATGTGGCTGTAGGGAGAACCGCAATCCCCCCCGTCCCACCCGTGTCCCACCCACTGCCGCCATTCCCCGGCAAGGCAGCGGACGAGGACGGGGCTGGGGACGTGGCAGGGCTTGGCGAGGAAGCGGGAGTGGTGCGTGGGCCTCCGCTTCCCGTCTCCATCAGCGGGCGTGGGGATGGAGGCTCTGCGCACCGCGGGCAGTGGAGCGAGGCCTTGCCGTAGCCTTGGCCCCTCGGCCATGCTGCTGCCCAGGAATGCCAGATCTGGCTGCCAAGGGGCTCTGGGAGCCCAGCCAGCGTTGGCAGGGGGTCTTCTAGTCACCCCAGCGCTGCGTTACCCGTGGGAGTGCAGCCCCCGCACCCCGGAGCAGGCGTGGGAGGCGTCTGGGACCCCTTGGTGTCTGGGGTCAGCTGAGCCTGCGTCCCCTCCCCATCCCACGCCAGCGGGCACCGCAGCCCTTGGCTCCGTGTCGCTTTTGTTCCTTGCAATGTTTGCTCAGCTCTTCCCCCGACCCGCGGTCCCTCTTGGGCTCCTCTTCCCGGATGGCAGGTCCCGCTCCGCAGCTGCCCGGCAGCTCCCCCGGGAGCTCCCGGCGAGTGCGGGGGCCGTGGCCGAGGGGCTGCACCGGTGCTGGGAGCGCTCCTTCCCGGCCAAGCAGCAGCTGAGCCGCACCGGGGGCTGCTCTGTGGCTATTCTTAGCCCGGGCTCCGCTCCTGGTGGCTCTGGAGCGATGCTCTGCCGAGCCCGCTTCCTGTTTGCCGCTCTCCCTGCCAGTGCCGCTTCCCACCCACCCCACCCACGGGGGGCAGCGGGCGCGTGGGGCAAGCCGGGTGGGATAAATCAGCGGGATGAGCCGTGTGGGATGAGCCATTTGGGGCAGGCAGCCACGGCTCCCCTTCCTGGGGCTCTGCTGGCAGCACAGCCCCCGCCGGCAGGAGCTCCAGATGTCCACGGCCTCGGAGCTCGGTACCGCTGCCCTCGCTGCAGCTCCCTCGGCATCAAAACACCTCAAACGGGAGCTCCCTCCCCGGGGTCTGTGCAGGCAGCAGGCTCCTGCCGGCCCTGGGACAGGCCGTGACTCTGCAGCAGCCACAAAGGGTCTTCTGACCCAGCTGGTCACCCCTGATGGGCCGGGTTCAGCTCCAGAGCCCGGCTCAGAGCCGGAGCCTCGAGCTCCCCATGGCCCAGTGCCTGGGCCGCGGTGTGTGGCCAGCCGGCTGGGGAGCATCCCCAAAAACAGGACGTGCTGGGAGCACGGGTGCTCCTCTGCCGGTCTGCTGCCGCCATGGAACATTTCATTAAGAATCCCTACATATGAAGCAATTAATTAAATACTGGCAGCGAACGACCGCTGTCTGACAGGGGGACCAGGACGCTGTTGGCACTGGCTGCTCCACACGGGGTGGCCGGCACTGGGTCAGAGCCATCAGCTCATTAGTAGCGATCCCAGAGGTGTCAGGAGCTGCTGACACCCAGTGCTCCTCACACAGCTCCCCTGGGCTCTGTGAGCACCTCCCCACAGCCCACGTCAGGCAGAACTGCCTGGTGTGGGGAGAGGGGGGTGGTTCTGGCAGGACTTGGGGGGCTGGGGGCTCAGCGCTGGGCAGGGCTGGCTGCGGGGTGTCCCTCTGCTCAGACACCTCTAATTGTTCTCTGACCTCGGGGACTCCTGGCTCCCACACTGGTCTGGCCCCGTGCAGGCCGATTGCCTGGGGAGGTGGGGGGCTCGTTGCTCCCCACGGACGGTGTGGGGCACCTCCGCCAGCCCCGGGGGGAGCAGGGAGGGTCTTGAGCCCCTTCCTGCAGAGCCCCCCCCTGCCCCTGTCCTGCCCCCGGAGTCCCCGAGGCCGGAGCCTGGTGCTGCCGAGGCCTGGCCCGGTACCTTCCCCGGCCCGGGGGCAGCAGGGCGAGGAGGGGGCTACTCCTGCCCCGCGCCCCCCGGCCCCGGGTCCCTTTCTGCCCCCCCCGTGC